GGACAAACCTGCTCAGAACGCTCCTGTAGTTACAGCAGGACAGGATGACAGCACTACCATTCACCTAGGCCCTACACCCATGGAAACAGTTCCTTCTGCATATGTCACACAGTACATTTTCTTCAACACATTCTTGTAACAGGTACCTGAAATAACACATCTCTAGCTACGCCTCAGCTCTTCAGAAGACTGGCAGCTATAATCCCCTGCAAGTCTGTGTCTTCATAGAGAAACATGTCTTTTCTTGCAATATACTATCCACACAGCATTACTTTTACTGTCAGTGATAACAGCCATAAGGAAAATACTACGTCATTTGATCCAAAGGTTTTAATATGACAATCCAGTCTGACTGGAGAGGATAATTACAATTAAGCTATTCATGTAGAACTTGAACCTGAGCCCCTATACTGGGACCTTCAATCCATCTCTAAATCATGTTCAAATCTGGAGCACCTATGCAAGTCACCTGTGTTTTCAAAGAGTTTGGAGAAGAAATTGCTGGATCTTGTAGTTCCGTATGATACGTGCGAGTAAGTAACTCACTGAGAGCAATGAGGCTCTTCACGTTCTTAAGGCTTTTTTTTCTTTTAAAAATTTGTTCAAATTATACTCCTATGAGGAGACAGTACTTTGTGCTTTGCAGACAGCCATTCGAAGATCCTCCCTAACCACTACAGTCTTCGTAAAGCTTAATTCACACAACTTTCCAATGCTGTTCAACACTACTGGCATTAACAAAGAAAAATGTATCACTGCAGCTAGAAATGTCACTTGGGAGCTATCTTGTGTAAAAGAAAAGTTTCAGTCTAGTAAAACAGAAATGCTGATCTCAGAGGCACTAAAAGAAATAGAGATACACTCCAGAGGGAGTTATGACTTAATAACAGTTCTGACAGGTTTGATGAGATTGCACGAAATACCAGAATTTTCCTCAAATATTTCTCTGTTGCCAACCATAACCTACCGGATGAATTTACTAAAGCTTAAGAATTTCTCTGAAGTATTAGCAAGAAATAATGACAACTGGGACAGCACTGCAGTCTGGGTTTTTCCAAAATGAAAACATCGAGTAAGAGGAAATATTTCTGTCACATCAGACTAGAAGTAGTAGTAGAAAACCCAAATCTAGTCATTTAAAAACTGATAATGGCTGGTAGTAATCACTACAACATATACAAAGAGATTTTAAGGAAGAACAGAGAATGGTATCATCCTATACTTACTTCCTTGTTGCACCCACTTACTTATGCAGCTAGTGTGGAGGTTTGCCATTCTGCAAATACAGTATAAATTTCATTCCTCCAGCTGAAAGAATAGCAATAACAAGCACAACATCAGTACATGCAGCTTGTCCCAAAGCTCAAGGAAGTACACAAGATAATTGATCTCCTTTCTATAAACCTAGGATGCATTTAAAGAAGAGATGAGATACAATCCTATGGAAGGTTACAACAGAAAAATAGGAAATTGGGAGATACTAGCTGATTTAAAACAAAAAAAAGTTCATGTTCTATGACGTAAAAAACACACATCTAAGTAGAAAATGAGTCGACATTAATAAATCAACTCTTAGAGCATCATAAACAAAAAGAGGAGCTTGTGGACAAAGTAGCTGTGCTTTTATTTAAGCAATAAGGAATAGAATTTATCTTCATATGCAAAATTTACTACACAAACAGTATGACATGCATTCTAAAATGGATTTATATTACCATACAGCTCTATCAATGTCTGTCTTTTGCTTAATGCTTCTTATTTTCCTCCATCAAACCCCGGTTAGGAAAATTCTTTCAACCTTTGGCATACCTGACCATCACTCCTGTATTCACCACTGTATTACAGCATCACAAATAACAGCAATGAGCAGTTTATACAGATAAAGAACTTCATCCAAAATTCTAACATTCACCTCTAATTTCCATTTTACATACAGAAGGAATAGAGAAAATATTTATTTCTTGTTATGTTATGAGCTACACTGAAGTCACTCTCCTAACGCTGTATAACATGCTACTATCTGAGCATTCAGCCCTGTAGGTTAAGTATGGCACTGAGCTGAACTTGAAAGGAAAGTGCCATTTCTTGATAGAAAGTAGATTATGCATTCCCTTCTATTGCACTGGCAGGCTGTGTTTGGAAAATGAGCATGTGTCCACATGCAGACAAGCAAAGGATCTGACACACAGACACCACCATAGTGTTGCACTGCAGTTTCAGTAGGCTTTTCAGTTTTTCTGCTTTTTCCAGAATTATTTAGTCCTCTCCAATGCAGGTGTAAGTAAAAAAACATGAGGGACAGAAGTCAGCACATGGTGAAGCCTTAGAAAACGGTGTTCTCTGAGAGAAGAAAGCAACGCAACCACTTGCTGGGTAGTTTTCACTCTGCTAACCTTGTGAATGTTTGTTTGATGGGGCTGCTTACGGATTCAGTAAATTACCCTTCTCTACTATTCCGAATATTCCTAATTCTATAGCTGTTCTCAGATCATCTACACAATCTTTAAAATCTATTTAAAGTAGTCAAAGATCACTGAGTCCAACTGTCCAGCCACTTCAGGGCTAACTAAAAGTTAAAGCATTAATGAGGGCACTGTCCAAGAGCACTGAGAAGCAGGGGGCACCAACCACCTCACTAGGAAGTTTGTGCCAGTGTTTGACCTCCCTCCCAATAAAGAAATGTGTCCTAACGTCCAGCCTGAGCCTCCCCTGATGCATCTGAGATAAGGGATATACAACAGTCTTTATCATGCTAGAGACATACACTAGATCCATGCTGTCCATGAATGCATGTTACGATTTTAAAAGGCAGTGTCATTTGCACATGTTGAATTAGGTTTAGAAAAAATGTGTCTAAGTGCTGGAGAAAGCAATTTCTGTAGCGTTCCTTGCATACTATTTGGACACCTGAAGATGAGTGGCTGAATGCTAAGGAGTATGTTTGGCAGCTGGTATATCTTGAGATCACTGTAGGATTTCTTGGCACAACTAGGCTATTTATCTGATGAAATTTGGTCACTTTTTTTTTTTTTAATCCTGAATTTATGTCACCCAGGAAAAATATGCTGACATTAAAGCAGTGTTTAGATAATATTCAACGATTCAGTGCTTCAGTGGCAAATCTGTTCCTTGTGTAGGCATGAAAAATATCAAAAACAACCATCTTGTTTAATCTCTGACTTTCCGACATGAGATGTATTATGAATATTCTAAGCATAAGGAAGGCAAACTAAAAAGAACTAAGCAATTAGTAGATAAACTCTAATCACATAAATAAGTATAATTATACAGAAGGGAAATCTTTTCAGTTCAGTAAAATCGGTGGGATGTTAAAACATTCCTCCCATTCGCAGAAAAAATCTTCCTACCATGCAAATAAACAAGTGCATGAAAACCAGTGAGCTAATCAAGCTGATTTTTCTATATATAACCTCCTTTCTCTGTAAAGGAAGAGAAAATGTTAATTCTGTTTTTGTATACTTGAGACTCACACAGATGCTACTACTGCTAGGGCCTGTGCTTTCTAATGAAGGCCCTGGGACAAGGGTAATAGAGTAATTGCCAACTGACGTTGTGCTCTAGATGTAGTTTGTTAAGCAGCAAGCAGAGGCAGCAAATGCAATTGACAGGCTACATTCAGAGCCATGCTGGTTGCACAGAAATGGGTATTTCAGGAAGACTGGGAGCAAATGTGCTCTCCAAATCACTTCTACAAAAGGTCCCAAAATAAGAGTGTATGTTCCTTTATATGGAGGACATGTATTACAGATAGGATTCAGACCCCTCTGCACTCTACCAACTAACTACTCTCTGTAAACAATTCCCCACAGCATGTCATTGACAAGCAGCAAGCTTTTTACATTGTCAGATTTTTCTGCTTGTCAACTTACAGTGTGTGTAAAAAACATCCAATGCATTTCTTTCAATGATTTGTTTGGCTGTGACACCATAGCTGCATGAGTACAGAACAACTACTGGGTAATTAGAGCGCAATTTGACTGTTAAGAATATTATTCCAATGATTAAGTTTGGATTCTACAAATTCTGGAAGAAAATGCTTAATACTATTTAAAACCTCTTTCTCATAATACCTGCACTATAAATGTAAAGCCTCAGCAGTTCCTATTACATTGATTTGATATAATAAACTAGAAATACTGATAACCTTGTTGATAAGGCAATCAGTACAATTTATGAGAGTTAAATGCTTATTACACATCTAGTGTTTGTATTTAGTAAGAAAAAAGCAGTCCGCTCCCACGTAAGAACATCTTAACACTGGAGAACCTCTTAGCTTTGAAAATCCCAATTCCTGACTACAAATTACAAGGCTTGTTTTGCCAAAATTGGCAGTTATCAAAGTGATATAAAACAGTATAAATGATACCAGACTTCTAGAGAGGATTGTCAGCCACTGGAGTTACTGATCACTATTACTGACTTGTGACAAGCAGTAGCTGCCACAGCTGGAGATTATGCAGAGGCACGTTGGGAGTTAGACCATGCAGCATGGGGAGCAATAAGAGGTCTCACAGAATAGGATGCATGCATAGGCTGGTCAGTGGTCACAAAAAAAATAATAGTGTTTTCATCAGACAGTCAAACAAGTACACATTCACCTCCTGGACTTCCTAAATTTTGGCAGCATGTTCCCCTAACTACTCTACTCATATAAATGCTCCTATGGACTTGATGCTCCATGAGAGGACTGAGGCAGGCAACAACTGATATGCTGGTTTTCCATAATGCTATGCTCTTGCCCACAGCCTGACTAATGCACCAGGCAGATCCCACAGGAACTGGTAACAAACCTTGAAAATTGCCCTGAAAACAGATAACTATTCCTAGGTGGCTGTCCGACAAAATGAACGTGTATATAAGACAACATAACCAGCGATACAAGAGTCTCTGAGAGCACCAGTCTCTAAGAACAACAAAATGCTTTTTCTGACCATTCCTGAGAGCTTCTGCTTCACCTTTGGTGAAGTGTCCTTACCTACCACACTTCATGCAGGGCAGGAGGGGGGAAGCAGAACCAACGTTATCCAGTCTGCTCTCTTCTCATGGCTCATTTCACGTTCTCTTTTCCTTCAAATTACTGCCAGATGAAATAAAAACTTGGATGTTAGTCTTCAGTGAAATCTTTGTAACTCACAACAGAGAAAGTATTGCTTGTAGATTAAAACAAACAAAAAACAACAACAAAAACTTCTTCTTTAGCAGGAAACATGACAGTGAGATGCACTGAGGCTGTCCTTCCGTGACACAGCTTGAACATCAATATTAGAACAGTGCAGATATCCCTCCACTGCCTGTGCATGGCTAATCACAGTAGATTCCTTGATCCTGTATTGAGTCTGCCAGAAATCCCTGTCTTAGCCTTTAGGCAGATTCAGATTTCCAGGGACATCCCAGTGGAATCAGCATGAGCAAATGTGACCAAAGTGTTATTTCTGTTTAGGGATTCTGATTAGGGATTCATCTGATTGTTTATGGGGCTGAAAAGATTAATGATACAGGTTTATCTAGCACAGAATAATCAAAACTAATTCAAAAGATTTTCAACTTGACATAGAGGCACCTTTTTCGTTCTACTTTACCCTAAATTTACCCTAAACTACAAATGAACCAACTTTAGAGCTCCTAACTTGTAAAAATACATGCAGCATATTGCAGAAATCAACCACCATCCACCATGAATTTACACTGCAGTTCACATACTTCTTGTTTTGTTTTGTTTGTTTTTGGTTTTGGTGTTTTTTTGCTTGAAGAATTAGCTTTGTACTATGGAATTTCTTAAAAATAGTAAGTGCCCAATCTTTCTCATTGTATCATTATCTTTGACTTTATATCATTTGCTGTCCTACAATTTGCAGGCAAACTTAAAGCCTGTTTAGGCTTTGATTAGAGCATCACAGATGATATGAAAGAAGTGGATCACACACAGCATGCCAGATCAGATTGAGGTGTTAACTCTGCAGGTACACTGATACAGCATGGCAATAATGGAAGCACAGCCTGCTTTTCAGCACCTCTAGCAGCTCTTCTGCGTTGACTTGGTACTTGGAAGAGACGGTTACTTTTTTTGTGGACACATCACTGCAGACACATCTGTTGATTACGTAAAGAGCCTTAAAACTGGCTGTAGACCACACCACGGTACTGACAGGTACAACTTTGCTAAATGTGCTAACATTTTACCAGGTATATTGCAGAGTTGACCAATGATTTCTTGCAACTTGCTGATGCTTCCTTAGCCACACAATTAGCTCACCCAGCTGCTTTTATAGAAAATGATGGGATCCTGCTGGGCACTAGTGAGGAGCTGGCAGAATGTCTGTTCTATTATGCACTGTTCTTGAGCAGCATAATTCATGGGGGTGTTTTAGGTCAGTACCACTTAGAGACACAAAGGAAAACTGTCAACAGCTTTTACTTGGAATTTTGCAAGAATCGGTTTTCATTTAGGAGATTTGTCTTCTACAGGTTATAATGATATTCCCTCCTACCTGCTCACATCCTCACCCCAGCCTCTATCTACTACTTGGTTACGATGATAAATATCACAAACCTAGGAAGATGAAGTGACTGATTTTTTTATTAGATTGCAACCAGCATACATGAACTATATTCTTATGCAAAACTTTCTGTTGGCACATCAGAGTGCGCTTATTTTGACAGGAATTTAAATTCCTTTTTGATGGCTGGGTAATTTAAACACCACTGGGAAGTATACAATACATCATGTCCAAAAAATGGACATTTTCAGAGCCTGGTGTAAGCATAAGCTTCTGCAGCTGGGTTTTAATTGAAAGTTTTCAAAAGGTTAACCGTCATCCTGGACTGTAAATAATATAAATGAAACAAAATGTTCATGTAGCCAACATCTAATTTATTTACAACAAACAAAGGGCTACATCCAACTGGAATTTTCTTCCTTCCCTTGGCTAGCTTGGTAAAATACGATTTCAAGGGTTTTATTTTTTTTCTTGGAATGGAACTATTGAAAATTGTTTTGAAAAAGATGTGGCTCATAGAACCAGCTGGGTCTCTAAGACTCTAAGACTGAATGTCAAAAGAATGGCTTATCAGAAATGCCTCTCCTTTCCCCAGGAGAATACTGCAGGCTCTAAGGTGAACCAGCAGGTATATGTTTTAAACTGCACCAATGTAGACTTTGGCTACACTACAAAATAAAGTGAATACTGTATGACATAGTAGGGCAAACTTCTAAAACTTGAATCTAACTATGCCACACTGCTAGTACCAGAAAGAGAAGGATGCCTATCAGATGACATAGAATATCAGTCAGTTTTCGGAAAAGTTTTTTATAAAATAATTCTGAACAATTAGTAGCGATGGTTACACGCTGACTCTGATTAATGCCCAGAAATAAAAAATATAATTAAAAAATTGTACACCAATAGCTAATTATACACAATTACCTATTATTTCGTACCTGCTGCTTTAGTTCCAGCCAGTTATCAGAATGCAGAGGATAAACAGGGATAAACAGGTCCTTTCCTCAAAGTTGCATGCAATCACTGTCCTGTCCCTGTCAAGAGAGAAATATGCATATGTATTAAATAGTATTCAAGTTCCATTTCATTTCTGCAAACATTATGGCATTGCACTCCCTTACTAACACTGCATCCCTTTTTATCTCCAAAGAGCTTGCTATCATACTGGTAATGAAGATAATCAACCTGGAAGAAAGTTGCACTTTTGTGAAGGAAAAGAAAAGAACTATTAGCAGTACGTTAAAGCTGCATTGACAACGAACTGCTGTATTTACATATACATACATATATGTGTGCGTATATATATATAGGCTCTTACAAGGTAACCAGGAAGGCAAACTATTACAGAAACCATGCTGGCCACAGTCCTCAGGAATAAAGATGACAATAGCTATGTTCAAATAGCTCATTCTGCATCTTGCATTCCTTAGAATTAGCCTCACAAGCTGAATCCCAACATTGTCAGAAATACTTTTTCTGTCTTGTGCAGTCCAGCAAAGGAGGAGATGTATCCAAAGTAACATGCCAGGTACTTCTGGCAGAAAATGGCCACTCATTGCCCATGCAGTCAGACTGCTATGAATATCTCCATCACTAATATGATTAAAATGAGAATGCTGTAAAAAGAAAAGAGAAAAAATTGTTGTCCAGTGTAGAGCTGAATTAATATCAGCCATCTGTTTGTACTGAAGATTTCCTATCAGTTTAGAGACAAGCTACTCACTGCCAGTATGTTCAACAATTTGAGAAGTCCTATAAATGTTCTTCCTTTATGCTTTATGACTCCACTGAAGAAATGAAAGGTGCTGGGATGCTAATGGCAATGGTCAAACATTTCTGCATTCAAGGCTCCTGCAGAAGCTTTGTCATTTCTCAACGTCAGCAAGAGTGCATGGGTAGGTCCAGTGGGAATTTCTCCCAAGGCCCCTACAAGCCACAACTCAACTCTTCCACAACAAATGTGCTGCATCCAGCATAGCACTTGTGAAGAAGGAAAGCAATGTTTCTTAGTTGATCTGAATTTGTATCAGCTTTTTAAGAGTCCTCCACGTCTTGCAGTTCTTGCTCTGTTGCTAAGGAACTAATGATGGGACCAGACAAAAGTGCTCTCTATGCAGTATCTACTCAATACAGCAGAGCACTGATGCCTCTGTGGAATACATATTTATAAACTATAGTGATTACCTGGCTGCAATTCGGTTTGCATTATGCTTAGATTATTAGACATGCTGCACCTCTGTATCAAACCACTACCTTGTATTTTGTATAGAGTTTTTATAGTCTTTGGGTTTGAAACCTCATTTTTGTTCCAGATCTGTACAGCATCTGCAATAGCAACCTCATCAGTCACCTACACAGTAATATAATGACAGTATCATCATCCATTTTCTGATATCAAATACGTGAGCACTGACTAGAAGACAAGATTCTACAATGTGTTTTTATTTTCATTTGATCCTCAACAGAGAATAAAGCTGTCTGGATTTCAGGCCCATCGTAATACCAAGATCAAAGAGGGTACAGGAGAGAGCCTATTTAGGGATCTCCTCATTTAGTGGAAACTGAACAGAACACAGTAACATTGCAGTTTGACCAGCAGTTACATTTTTCTTATGTATTAGCTTCCAAGATAGACATAGGTTGTTTAAACAGGTCAGTGAAAGCATAAACTTTAGTTTCACTAGGGAAAAGAATTAAATAGAATAAGATGTTGTTACGAAGACTAGCAGTGTTTATTTCTGATGCATTAATAAAGATCCCTGCTGTAATGGGCTAGGGAACAGAAAACACTCATTTCAGTCTCTACTCGTTTCTGCTATGCTCTCCCTTGATATGGAGCACTCATTTTCTACTTCTGTCCTTGCAATGTTCCTCTCAATTTTATTGTTACAGCACACAATCTCAAAACCTTTTACTTGATCTGCTAGATAACCTTCTACATCATTAAAACATATTTAAATACCTTGCAGTTATACAATAAACATTTAAATAATGTCTTTTGCCCAACATGAGATACAGCATGCACTAACAAGCACACACAAGCAGTATCAAAAAGCCTGATGGCTGAATTTACTGTTAAAACCACCAGGAAGAGATCTGTCATTCCTATAAAAGAAAGCAGAGACATACTGCGTAGCATACATATCAAAAGAATCCAAGAAAGAGAAAACAGTTTATAAAAAAGTTATTATAAAGTTATATATTACTAAACCAGTAAAGAAAGTTTCAAGGCAATTTGTAGAAGCATCTAGAAATATAATACACTTTTCTTTTTGGGTGTAGTTCATCTGGGGAAATAAGACAACTTCAAATTTCTTTTGTAGGGAATGCTGGTATTGGTGTTACACTCTAAGTATCCTCAATACTTGAAAAAAAAAACTTTGAAAAAAAAAGCTTTTAAAGTAATCCATTACTACTGTAATTTTATCTAGAAACAAATGCTAATCACAAATAGAAATAGAAATCTTAGCCATTCAGACTGGCACTGTAAAAGTATGTATTAGTTTTGTTTAAACAATAGCCACTCATGAACCTGCATTTGGTTTGGTTTGGATTTTTTTGAACAAACACCTGAGAACTCTGAAGTCCTTAAAAATACTATTTCCTTTTTCTATAGATATTAAAAAAAAATAATAATCAAAAAAAGCTTTACAGTGGACAAAAATGTAGAATTCCACCATCCATAGCACCCTCTTCTATTTTTATAGCTCTCTCCTATTTTTGCTCTACTTCTGTTTTTACTTCTTTGTAAGAAGACTATCTACCACTGCTAATCAACAACAAACTGCTATGGTTCAGCACAAGGAGGCAATGGAAAGAACTACTTGTTTGTTGTCATTAACATTTTTGTTTGCTTCTTTTTTTAAGCTGAGGAGAACAGGTGGCCCCATCTATTTTCTATTCTAAAGCCAGATCACTTTCTCTCTTAAGATCTCCTCATATCATCTCTGAAAACAGGGGAACCTAGATGCATGGTTCTGTCTGCTTCCAAAGGGTCCCATGCAAGCAGGCAGGATGCACCCAGCAGCTCTGAGAACATGTGCCCTGAAGCACAGGCTTATCCAAGTGGACGAGGAAGAAGAAAATACATACAGGGTTTTTACTCTCCAGAAAGTAGATACTCCCACATTAGAAGAATAATTTAGGCAAATCCTTTTTCATCCTATTTAAAATGGCTCTTTGAAATACGTCATATAGCACTCATCCTGATTTTGAAAATTCTGTGTTTCCATCTTTGACAGAGCAAAGAGACTGGCATAACCTGCATAAAACATTCATAGCATGCTCAGGAATGAGCGTTCTGTTATAATGCCAGAGATGTTACATGTTCATGAAAAAAGCTATCAGCTCAAAGGTGGGATAATGGCGATGATGGAAGAAAGCCACTTCTTTTATGTGTCAAGAATGTGAGGCTCGAGTTTTGCCTTTGATTCCCCTAAATTTTAATTTCACATCGAACTTCCCATTATCTTTTTATTTCTACAAAAGATAATCTACAGATGGAGAGGGCTGGAAACAGCATGATGAAGTGTAATTAGCAGACAACGCACTGCTTTACAGACCACGATAGGTTTATCCTTCTTAGAATCTGTATGTTGCTGAAGGAAACCATTTATACTCCTAACAGCTAACCTGTGCTTTCAGGAGACTGCCTTTACCTACACAGCCCCTTCTGCATCTTATTGTGGAAACACATACATAGAGGAGACCCAGAGCTCTGCAACAAGCAATTCAGAATCTGCTTGTGCAAATAAAGTGCTTTCAAACCGCTTGCAATAAAAGCTCAGAATATTATTGTTACAAATATGATTATACATTGATACCTCATTGCAAATTCACATAAGGGGTAGATCCATAATCAAAAACTGACAAAATAAGTAGGCTATTAGAATAATTTCTATCTAAAGGCATTTTAAAATAAATCTAATGCTGTTGCCATTTGAAGTGCCAAATAACTGCAAGAGGAGTGCCATTGGAAAGACATTTCTTCTTTTTCTATTGTATCAGGTATTCAAAAATACATACATTTGGTTAAGTAAGTCTCTCTTCCTAATTGTGCGTCAGGAACTAATGCATGCTCCTTTGTGAGCTCTGTGCAGTTTGTCTGGAATACTAGAAATACTCAGGTCAATCAAATAGCCTTATAATTAATGGGCATATTTTTTTCTCCAAAAAAAGAGAGAACTGTTTTGCATACAGGTATCTGAAGATGTGTTAATTTATTTTTTAATGATTTCCTTCCCTGCTCCCCTCCCCCTGCCAAGCACTGTCCAGTTTGTTTTTCAATTTGAAGCCACAGAAGGCTGAATTGTGTTTGATAAACTGGACAGATTTGCAGGTTTTGTACTGGTCCCCTTCTGATATTCTACTACAATTTTTTTTGTTACTTTTTGTTTGTTTGTTTACTATGGCTTAATAGAATGTTGCAAATTCAGCTGGTGCAGTCTTTTTTCAACTCCATCATGGGTTCAGAGTCTTATATCCTTTATCATCTGGTATTTTTTTCTTTTATTTTTGTTTTGAAATTTCATTTCAATATTTTCTCTCTCATTTGTGATTTGATTATTAGTGTTTATATCTGTCTATCTTAAATTATATTATCACTGAAAGCAATTCACAATACTATAAAACTTGTACATTTTAAAATTCATATAGAATGTTTTTGTTATATCTCTCTTTTTTTTAATGGGATCAGTATTTACTTATTAATAAATCCTTCTCACACTACAATACCTTGTTCTTTTAGCACTTACCTTTACACAAACTACAACTCTTCTTTTGTTGTTCTTTCTTTTACGTTGGAACATTTTTAAATTTCTTTTTACATTGGAACAGGCTGCCCAGGGAAGTGGTGGAGTCACCATCCCTGGAAGTCTTTAAAAGACATTTAGATATAGAGCTTAGGGATATGGTTTAGTGGGGACTGTTAGTGTTAGGTCAGAGGTTGGACTCGATGATCTTGAGGTCTCTTCCAACCTAGAAATTCTGTGATTCTGTGATTCTTATAAACTCACTACTAAAATGAAGACAGGGC